AAAATTTAGATATAAGTGGTCAGTCTCTTGCAGTATTTCTCCAGGTTTGCTTTGCTGAAAGCAGTAGGCAGACCTGGGGCTGCTTATGACCACAATATTCTTGTTGCTTTGTCAGACTTCTGATTTTAGAATATTGTGCACTAACAATAACAGCCAGCTACAACACACATCTCTGCTCAAAATTCAAGGAGGGATCTAATACTGTAGAACATTTATGCCCCAGCAGGGACATAATTAAAATAAACACCCCCACCCCAAACAATAAACAACTCTACTTTTGTACTGTTGTCTTGCTTTTAACACCAATATCTCAACTTTTGATTTAGGCCTATGTATTTGTTGGTTACCGAACAGAACGTCAATCTCCATGAAATGCTTCAGTTGTAAATGTCAGTGAGCAGGAACTCGCACAACATGTTGCAGTAGGAGTAGCGTAGCTGGAATGTGCTTTATTGTTTTTTTTATATTTGCTTGACAGAGGACATGGTCTGCAGGCACAGATATTGTAGTCCAGACTGTACTGTTCATGAATATTTGTGAAACATGCAACACATAGGATGTATCGAATATTGAGCTTTGCACATTTTTATGGTGATTTCAGTGGTCAGAAAAGCTGTATGTTTTTCCCTGTTTTCACCGTAGAGATATGAGGGAAGACATGTTCAGCTTTCTGTGATTTTTTTTGCAGGGGACGTTGGACATCTTGAGACATGCATCGTGAATTTTCATGTCCCTTTGAAGTGTGAGAGATGCTGAAACTTGGCAGGGGGAAGGGGGACGAGAATTGGACTCCATTTGGAATTTAAGCTGAATGGACAGTAATTTTGGGGGAAAAAATAATCTGTACTGGATGGCTAAGATAGATTTTTTCCTTTCACCTGCTCAGTTTCTGGCTCATTGCTTCTTGTGGTGTGTTACTTTACCTGTTGTGCTTCAAAAAGAAGAAATGCAAATATTACTGAGCTTCTTGATGTTCACATGAATAAGTAACTCTCAGATGCATCCCAAAATGAACCTGGCTCCTTTTGCACAAAAGGACAAAACTATACATTTTCTTTTCCAGGTCATCTGAAAGGGGAGGAGAGTTTGGGGCTAGAATTCTCCAAGCCCATTCTTTCACGAGGCTTTGCAGTCCTCTCTCTCTCTCATCCTGACAGGCTTGGAAACATAGTGTAGTCCTGATGTAAGATGTGTTAATACTTTAGCGTCAGAAAAGAAGTGAGATGCTTGCAGAAATAGAGAAGTTTGATATCAGACTTGAACCAAGATTGCTGGCATCATGTGTAGGGGCAGTGCAGCCAAGTAACAGTGGGACTAGCCCGCTTCTCACAGCATTGTAAATGTTTCTTGCGAGGCATGTTGTTCCTGTGAAAGGACAGGCAGATCTGTGGCAAATGATCAGAAAGTCACTTACTTATGTAAAGGTGGTCTGCAAATCAATTTGATGACATTAGTTCAGTGTTTGTGCTGAATGCTCTCATTCTCCAGGCTAACCAGAGAACAGCATTCGGCACATAACCGAAATGCTTACTATCTCTTTTTCTCAGGTTCTGTGAAGTCCAGCCCCACTAGGACCTCCGGCTCCTGCTCCAAAGTAACACCCACGCATGCACCATGCTGGTGATATCACATCACCCAGGGATCCTGCTGGAGCTTGGAGCCGGCCTACAAGGGGTCAGGTAAGTACCACTTGAAAACAAACTCAGCAACCCGTTTCAAGGGTATCACTCAGTATTTCTTCTTAGTTCTTAAGGCCTAAGAAGAAAAATGTTTTGATGGATAAACTAGACACCCCTGTTCTCTTAGCCTGGCTAATGGGGCGTATAATATAATATGTACTGTTTACATTGATGAAAGTTTCACAAATTGATTTGCAGGTCACCTTTAACCTATGGAAGTGTGCATATTTGAATAAGATTTGTTTAGTGTGCCATACATACCATGTTTTCTGCCTTCTCTTACAACATGCTGTGTATTATGTTAGATGAGTTCATGGTTATGAAAAACCGCGACTGGCTGCAGAAATGTCAGGTTTGTGAGTGTGACAGAGGCTACAACAATTACTGAACTGAGTTAGGTCAGTGAACCAGCTAGTCCAGTAGTTCTATATGGAATGTTTGAGATGTGCGAGATCTTGTAGCAGACTGATATAGGAAGTTTGTTCTTACTTGCTGAAATTGATGTTTTCTTGTTTGAAATGAGGGTTTATGTCCTTTCCAAAATGAGCTTGTATTTTTAGACTTTGTAAAAATCTTGCTGGTTGAATTCCCCCATCTTTTTTAATCTTGCTCCTTGGTAATACTGGCAGAATCTTCTGACCAGCTTCTATAGGGCAAACTGCCTGTTGTCTGAAAAAGTTGCATTAGTAGTTTCTTATCTTCTAGTTTACTTGTTTGCTTGTGTTCTGGTATTATGAAAAAAAGTAAACAGATTAGGAGTATTTCCACTTCCTAGAAGATCAGAATATGTGCAGTGTTTTCATCTAGGTTTTTCCCGTCTTCTGTTCATTCTTACTGTCAAATTTTGAACCTATTGTAATTTCACAGCAGCATCTCTGGGTTGGTGTGCAGTATTAATCCTGTTCAGATGGATCTGTTTGTCAGCTTCTGCAATGGCTTTTTTTTTTCTTACCCTTCTCTGTTCTTTTACAAAATATACTTCTTTTCTTGGTTGTTGCTATAGATTGACTTGTGATCCACATAGTGTTTTTCAGCTGGAACTAATATCATAGATCCCAGCACTTGGGAGAGAATGTTTCAGTAACATACAACATGTACGTTTGCCTGGTGTTTAGCTCAGAGTACTTTTTGCTGTTAGTGCCTTTTTACGTAGCTCTGCCCTGTCTTTCTGTAGCTTTTCATGCTCCTGTGCATTTGCTTAACTTCTAGTTTGCAAGGCAACAAAAGTTACCTACTTCATTGCTCACTGCTTCCTTTCTGAGTTACAACCACAGACCTGAAGTCTTTATAATGCTGGTGAAGACTGGTCAAGTCTTACACCATTGCTTAGCATTTTTCAGACACTTCTCAGAGTTGTCATGAATTATAAAGGCAATCCAGCAGTGTGGTAGCAGCTGAGCTAATGAGTCTGACTTCTAAAACCATGTTGTGAGTCTCATGTAGCATTGTCTTTATGTTTTGTGAATTAAGTTCTAAGATACAGAATTACAGTGTATTGTCCAGTAGTTCTCAGTATCAGCTGTTCAGCCATCCTTAAATGATAAAGTATTTTATCTTAGATGATTTATTTTTTCAGAAGGGATAGCTGTTGCTCGAGAGATTCAGAAAATGTCAGATCCTGACTCTGATATGTCTGCCTCTAATACTAGTGTGTAAAAGCTGTTCTGAGGTGGAGTGGGTAGAGGGGCACTTGAGTAACCAAATTTGTTATGTTTCAGTGAGAAGTGTTTGAGATGCTCTTTCGCAGAGTGCTGTAGGGGTACAGCATGCAGGCTGATTCTGATGGATGACACCTGTGTATGGGTAATACTTAGCTTTTTCCTTCTGTCCCATCTGTTTGGTTGCATGGGCAGGGCTTCATTCAGGTGCATGAGGATGGAGTCTAAATGGGGGCTGCATTAGTTGCTGCTTGCAGAGCACAATGTAGGTGATGTGAGAGGAGTCACAAGAATGTTGAGGAACCATGTGCATGTCACGCTGATCTGTTTTATAGAGTCCAACTTAAGGGTCTCATGAGACCTGGAATTAATTGTAGATAATGCTCTGGGACTGAGTATGGTCTTTTATTATTTAAACAGTGCTAAGTAAAATAATTCACCTCTTTGTGGTGCTGTTTCTCAGGAAACTTTAGAAGGTGTGAACCGTGTCCAGTGCTGAATAGCAATGACAGCCTAGAAAACCTCAACAGCCATTTGTGCTGGACTGTCTTATGCTGACTGATCTCTGATGCTCTTGGTGGGCTGGACTGGGGCTCTCTGGAAGGATGTTTTTCTTCATGTACTCTACTGACTCAGTGCAAGCCCCAAGGTGGGATCCCTTTTTGTTTAAGTAGAATAGAGCAGAACTACAATCTCCTCCCTGCTCTGCAGGACATTTTGAACACAGGAATAAAAAAATGTTTCTTGGCCCTTGAGAGAAAGGAAGTGGCTTGTTTAATGTAAGAGAGCTGTTAAAGAGTTACTACATTCAGATACATGATTGTTGGTCTTGGTTTTTATGTGTAGTGACATCTTTCATAAGTCTTTCTTTCTCTTTCAGTTTTAAGATAAGTTTGGGACAGGTGACTCACCAAATTAAAGAGGAGTGTGACTTGGCATTCCTGAAAATGAATTTTTTTGTAATGAACAGTCCTGAAGTGAACAATGTGATAGTGTTGGACCACATGACTTCTCTTGATTCTGACATCTGCAAATACCTCATTTGCTGTTTTTCCCAGTAGCACAAGCTATGTCTCTGTTCTGTCTCAGTGTTCTCCAGAGCTGTTTGTTTTCTTCCAGAATATTTTTCTTGTGTGTTTACTATCCTTGGATTTTTTTCTATGAAGCAGATGTTTCCAAACTCTTGGTTTTCTGAAACATTGGCTGCTCAGTGATGTGAGCTCAGGCCATTAACTGTATGAGAGGCTGGGAGAATGCAAGATCCAAGGTATCAAGAGGGTTTCTTTCTCCAGAGGGAACAGGCACTGTCTGAGGGGTTTCAGAATGCATTTAGTATTTTTCATTGACACTGTGATCTGGCTGAAGCAACATGTAGTTGTCAGGGTAATGTCTTGGGAGGTGAGTGGCAATAGGGATGTGAATTGGGAATAAAGACAGAGGGAAGGTGACAGTTGAGTTGGTGGTAGGTATGTATCCTGTGCCATTGTGAGCCGTGGGAAGTGTTCAGGAAACTGCTCTGTAGCATGAAGACAGAGTACAACCCTTTTTGTCCTTCTCAGGAGGACCTGATGGAGAGACTTGTTGGACTGAGTTCATATTGCTTCTACCAGCTGTGCTTCTTGGCATTGGAAATAACCCACAGAAATACCTGTCTTTCAAACAGGTATGAAGTTTGCAAGCCAAGTGAGGATGGCCTGGAGTATGTTACTCTCTCTGTTTACTTTCGGGAGAAGACAGTGAGGCAGTCCAGCAATACTTCAGGGACCGTACTCTTTGGTCAGCCACTACTGATATCTGTGCCGAAACACAAACTCACTGTGGATCACTTGTACAGTGTGGTTTCGGAGCAGATCAGGTAAGTCATGTCTGTACCATTGAATTCTGTGCAGAGTTCTAGTGGTCACTTACTCAGTTACGCTATAATAGGATTACTGATCCTTGTTAATGGGAAGAATTTTCCTTGATTTTTATGTGGCATATAGATCAGGATTTGTATTGCATTAGTGTCTGGAGGCTGCAGGGGCATGTCAAGGTCCTGTTTTTTTGGGTTCTGTAAAAGCAGGCTGTAAGATAATGCTGGTGGTGGTCACAAGGGAAGCGATGTGCCTGGTGGTGCAAAACGGGTCAGGAGCAGAACTCAGGCTGTGTTTTCAGGGCACTCAGATGGGGCCACCGTAACTTATTTTTGCCTTTTCCATCTAATGCCAGTAAAGCTTGGAACAAGCAGTGAGAACAAAGACTTACGGAATTGTAGTTTGACTCATTCTGAGACCTTTTGGCCTGTAAATGGTGCTGTACAGGATGTGTTCTGGTTTGCTGAGGGGGATTGGACACCAAGAACTTAGGATGGAGAGGAGTGCTGTTGTTCTGATGTAGAGCTTTATGATTGTATTCTAAACATATTCCCTCCCTTTAGCCGCTATGTGAAACTCCCTTTGGCAGAAGAATACTCTACGCCCTGCCCAGACAAAGGAACCTGCAATGGCTCCAATGGTGTGGTTGAAGGTAAAGTCCTTTCAAAACTGGCTGGAAGCTTTTTGGCTCTTAAACCAAATGCTAATAAAACTTCGTGCTGTGTATATTTGGCTTAATCTCTAGCAGATTGTTTTTTCACAATGGTTAAACCATGCTATTGCATAGGATTTCTGCATGGTATGGTGAGAATTCTTGCAGAAGGTTTTCCTTCCAAGGGAGATCAGAAGTACATAAGCAGCAGCAGGACTACAAGGTGTGGTGTGTGTTTATCATGACTGATGTTATGAAAGTCCTTGCTTCCCTACTAGGTGTTCAGGTGCCTCCCTCCAGAGGCAACTCCTTTCCTAATAGGCCCTTTGGTGATGAAAACTGGCCTGTTAGGACACAAAGACAAGTTCTGGAGAAATAAAGTGGAAATGGTGTTTTCTATTCATGAACCTAGAATCGTGAAGTCTTATTCCTAGGATAGATGCTTACAAAGAAGTTTTCAACACTGATGGCAAATGCATGTTTCCCTTTCCTCTTTGGAATTACTCACGCTGCTTGAGAGTAACAACTAGAATGAGGTAAATGGAAAAAGACCTGCCCATTTTTCCTTGAGGAATGGGAATAACTTCCCTGGAGACTTACATATTCCCTTCTGTAAAGATACCCAACTGCAACCTTGATGATTCTCCCTTGGGGTGTTTATTAGGGTGTGCTGTCAGACGATATAATTGTTAGCCTTCTGTGAACTGAGCACTCTCCATCGTGCCTGATACTAGGATATAAAACCTAGCACATTACCTGGCATCTACTAACAGAGAAAATACATCTCTGGGTGTAGTGGTTAGCCAGCAGTTTTCTTTTTCTGCATGTCTTTTCATTACTTTCCAAGTCATCAGTGTGTATGGTAACATGCTCATGCAAACAGCTGTCCATGTGAGGTGTCAGTCTAAGCTTTCAGTGAAGCTCTTTAATATTGTGCTTGTTTTAAATTTTGCTAGGCGACATTGAAGAGATGGAGCATCAGGATGGCGGGCAGGAAGGCAAGGAGAAGCTGGCAGAAGTTGATCCCTGCCACTCTGAGGGTTGTATGCAGATCGAGTCAGCAAGAGACCTGCAGCCTTGCAAGAAGTGGCATTTCACTTTTAGCCTTGTGAATTCCTCTGGGACCTCCGAAATAAACTCCATTGTAGAAGGAAAAATCTTAAAACTAAATGGTAATTATTATCTTGCTATAATTTTTTTCTTCTTTCTCCTTACACCTTTGCAATAAATGTTTCTTCTTTTTTGTAGCTTTTTCTGCACTTGCTGTTGATTGGGATTCTGATACACGAAGGCTACTTTTTGATGAACAGGAGGCACAGGTTGTTGTATATACTCTTTTCATAAATATCTATATGTAAACTTGCATGGTACTTAAACGATTACAATAGATGGTGAAATGTAGGTGTAGCTCCCTTCATAACTATTGGAATCACCAGCATGAGATATATTTACTTAAAATCTTTTAGTGATAAGGTCTGTAGACTTATAATTGCGGATCTATTTCCAGTGTGTTCTGAAAAGTAGACATTTTAATTTCAAAGCTAAAGAGTCTAGTTCATAGTCTGCTCAACAAACGAAACAAACCCCCAAAACCCAATAGAAACCTGAAACCAAATTCATAGAGTCTGGTAGAAAGCTCATTATTCTTTCTGTGAGTTCTGCTGGATTGTGTTTTGTAACAAAATAAACTGGTTTTACTCTTTTGCAAAAAAACCCCAAACCCACCAACTTTGAAGGAAGGACATACTATATTTTCTCTTACAGAGTGTTTATAACACAAGAATGGAATGGCTGGAAGCTTGAAATGATTGATGGGTGGGAAAGGGGGGGCCAGAAACAAGCAGCATGGTGAAAGTGATTAAAGAGTTATGTGGAATTGAATAAAGCATGCATGTCTTTCACTAGGCATTTGAAAAACATGGAAGTATGTTACAACCACAGAAGAAGAAGGCTGTGGTAGCCCTCAGAGACTGCATAGAGCTCTTCACTACTATGGAAACGCTTGGTGAACATGACCCGTGGTAAGAGCCTCTGCCTGCCTGCCATGTTTAGTGTAAAATGCCGTAACTATTTGAGTTCACATTGTCATGGGATTCTGATAATTGCCCAGGTCTGTCCTTTTATCTTAATCTGTGAGAAGTCTATCAGTTCTGTGTTAAGTCACTGACGTGGGTTAATTGCATTGACGTGCAGATGTGGGTTAATAAATATTTGTTTCCTGTCTTTATTTAAAGGAAAAAAAGTGGCAGTGGGCATGTAGCTTCCAAAGATCAAGCTATTTTTAATTCTCCAGTATACATCTATCTTCCAGACAGTGTCAGAGGAAGCAGTTGTGGTAATAAAGAGTGAAAGCATGTACCTACCTTAGGGTGTAATTTTGTATTATTTCTAGCTTGAACCAGTCCTGACCCACTCCTAACTCTGTCAAAAATCTCTAGTCCAGAGGGGCTAGGAACAGCAGATCCTAAGTGACCAGATTGTGATTACTGTGTATGCAGGTTTTTAGAGGTTGTTTGCTAGCTGTGTAAGAAAATAACTTAGGTGATTGTTTCTTATTAATTTTTAATTACATGCTATAGATGTGTTTGCAACTGTAATGTGTTTGAGCTGCATCAGAGATAATAAATGATGGGACCTTTAAACCTTTTTTTTTAATTTACAAAAGAAAAATTAATCTTTGTACAATGTTCAGTTAATGCACTTGCCATAGCACGTTTTGCCTATAAAGTGAAAGCTAGTTGCAGTTTGGAAACTTCTGAGGAAGTGTGTTCATCTGCGTATTCCAGAGTCAAAATGCTTTCTTAAGGCAGGGACTGTACTGTGCTGTTGAGGCATTTTTTTAATGGAAGGCCAGAGGCTTTTCTTTCAACGTAGTTATTCATTTCCTTATTTGTTACTCCTTCTCAGGTACTGCCCTAACTGTAAGAGACATCAGCAGGCCACAAAGAAGTTTGACTTGTGGTCTTTGCCCAGGATTTTGGTAGTGCATTTAAAACGCTTCTCATACAGCAGATACTGGAGGGATAAACTTGACACTGTTGTGGAATTCCCTATCAGGTAGGTTTCTTTCCTTGAGCTAGGAAGAGCTTGAAGGAGCTGGTCAAGAGAAATGTACTTCTGATGTTACTGTTGGGTGGGCTTGTTATTAAAGCTGTAACTGGAACAGCTCTGTCTTCTGGGTTTGCACTGCAAAACAGCAGGCATGAGTTGAGTTGGCTGGGTTTTTGGTGTGGGGTGGTTTTTTTTGTTAATCTTAACCATAATCAGATCTGCACAATTCAAAAGAACACTAGTTACTAGCAGTTGCTGTTTCTTTTGAAATTAGGTTAAAACCATGTGGTTCTCCTGAACCAAGAGAACTTCTAGAGAGAATTTAGCAAATTTATTGGGCAGAGTACTGAAGATTGCACAAGTACAGGATGAAAGCCTGCCTCATTCCTCTGCTTCTGCTTGTCAGCATCCTGCTGCAGGATGAAGCATATTCCTTACTGCTCCTATCTCAGTTTTCATGCCTTCACAGGGACACTCTGAACTGTCTTTATTCAGCACTTCCCTTTAAATCTTTTGGCAGCACTTGATGAGTTTACCAGGACCTGCCCTGTGTAGGAGGTGTAATGTGTCTGGTCTTTAAGAACATTTGGGTGTTGAGCAGCAGAGTGCATCACTTCACCACCAGTGCTGCCTGCCTGCAAAGCTTCACCGGTGTCATGCATCATTTTTTAGAAAGTGCTGGTTATGGGTGTACTGATATTTTTGGATTTCCTTCCAGGGGTTTAAACATGTCCGAGTTTGTCTGTGACCCGAGAGCAGGCTCATATGTGTATGACCTCATTGCAGTTTCCAATCACTATGGAGCCATGGGAGTAGGCCACTGTGAGTAGCTGCTTCTTTGTCCTTTGTGCACAAGGAAATATAGGTAGAGGGCTTAGTGCATTGGAGACCTCCCCAAGGCTGTCTAATCGAAAACTCAGCAATGTTTGTATGCAGGTGAACAGCATATTGGAAGGTAATGTCCTTCCTATTAGGATCTGCGGAGCAGCTAGCCAGTTTGTGTAGTTTGCAGCTGCCTGAGGTCTGACTCTGATGCCTGTGTCATTAGTAGTCATCAGAGTGTGTGATGGTGTTCCCCAGTTTGAGTGGAATCAAGATTTTTCAATGCCAAACGTGTAATTGTGGAAAGGAGCTTCTTGCTGGAGAGTGCTGGGATGAGTCCTCAGCATAAGCTGTCAGTTCATCTCCAGGACTCAGCCAGAGGGCAGCTGCTTGTCCAGCGTGGGTGCAGCATCACCGCTGCAGTGTGGAGGTTGGTGGCAGTCAGGGCAGCCAAGCGGGAGCTGCCAGGTTCCCTCGGTGGTGAGACAAGGTCTGAGGAGCAGCAGTTGCTTGTAGGCCAGGTAGACAGAGCAGAGGGCACACCTTGTTGTGAAGCTGGGTCTGGTGCCTTTCTGCATTTCCTGTCCTGGATTCTGTTTGCTACAATAGCAATTTAAAGCACCTATTTTTTTCCTTTTTCATTTTCCTTTGTTTCAGACTTTTTCTAAAACAAGCCACAAACAAATGGGACTTCTGGGTTGCTCAGCTGACATTAGCTTGCAGTAGAATGTCTCCACTTTTGCACTGACAAGAGCTTAACTTAGCAGGGAAAATCTTATGCCATCAGGAGAAAAAAAATCCCTTTGACAATCCCATTATCACAAGTCTGTGTTTTCTGTCACTGTTTTTGTTGCAGCATAGATGAAATCTGTAGGTGAGTTCCCTATATCAGGTGTCCATGCAGATCTGTGCTGTAGGTGACACTTCTAGAATTACCCAGAAGTGTTTTGCTGTGAGAGGACACTAACTGCTGTTTGGCAGTGTGTGTGCTTAATTTGAAGGGTGTGTCACTGTGGGATAGCATCAGCTGAAGGGGGACATAGTTTGGGATTGGAGATCTTAGTTACAGAAGTCTTGGAAGAGACTTTGCAGGACTTCAGTCCAACTTTCTTCTTGAGTGAGGACTCTTGAAAGCACTATATTGGATCCATCATCATCAGAAATTTTTTTTCGTATGAAAAACAGTAAAATGCAGTCTTAAACTGTGTGTTTGGGAAAGCTCTGACTCAAGGGGGGGGGAGGTGAACAAAACACTATATTTTTTTTCCTAAGTTTCTTTGCCCTGTATCTCATCTATCAGGGGTAAGTGGTACGCAGGATCAGCTAGCATGTCCTAGAAGATGTGTATGTTGGTGGACTAGGTTTGGGGTAGTTGATGTCACAGCTAGCTCCTGGCCTCCCATGCATACTCAGTTTGAGTCTCGAGCATCACTAGTGCAATGCCGGTGGTGTGGCGTTACCTACCCGTCTTGCCTGGAGTACTGAGCTACAGTGTCTTCTCCTGACAGACACGGCCTACGCGAAGAACAAAGTGAATGACAAGTGGTACTACTTTGATGACAGCAGTGTATCAGTGGCTTCAGAAGACCAAATAGTGGTGAGTATTTGGCCTGAGGCTAATTGAGTTTGTGCTGAAATTGTGGTTCCCTGCTTTGGGCGTTACATTTCGAGCCAAGCTGTGTGGATTGTTTCAGATGGTTTTCTTTTTTGTTTGTTAGACAAAAGCTGCGTATGTGCTGTTTTATCAGCGCCGAAACAGCGAGGAACATACTGCCCCATCTCCTCCCCAAGAAGAATGTGACGGCATGGATACCAACTAAACATCTCCTCCAGCACTCGGCCACCATGTTAGCGGTTGCTCTTCTAAAGCCATGCCTGAGGCGTCTGAAAATTTTTCTTCCTTCTGTAGGAGTCAAGCAGAAAATCTGGCACTGAAAGATTCAGTGCTGGGGGTTGCAGAATAGCACTGGAGAGCCAGGAATAGGTGCTGACACTTGGGTATTTAGAGGCCAAAAATAATATATATTGGAGCTTCAATAAAGTTCTTTTTAAAATCTGGCTGAGCTGTGTGGCTAGAGGCAGGGACTGGGGCTGGGCTGGGGCTGAGGGTTGTAGCTGGGGTCAGGAGAGCACAGCCTGAGCTGGAGGCCTGCTCACAGCTGAGCCTTGCAGGGGCCCGTGGAAGAGTACGGTGGGTATGATTCTGTGAATCGGCTTGGGGGCTTCCTGCCAACTCTTTGGTGTTGCTGTTGGGCCCTGCCTGTGTCAGGGTGGCTTGCTGCACCCTTTCTGGAAGTTCAGTTCAGATCTTTGTACATCTGACCTGTCTGTTGCAGTCTCTGCCATCATACTTTGGTATGCAATTACCCTTGCTACGCAACAAACATTTCTCTTTCTTGTATCCTTTCCCTGATGCATCTGAGGCTCTTCTGAGCAGTTTAGACTCAGCCTTTTTCATGTGAACACCGGATCCTGTAATGTAGGGAACTTCTCCAGAAGCGAATCACACCTGCCTGTGATGTGGTGTATGTGCAGGCTGATCCCCACAGCAATGCAGGATGCAGCTCTTCTGGCTTTGGCTCCCGTTCTTCTGCAGAGAAAATATCATCCACAAGGTTGGCGATTTCTTGTTCTCTCCATCCATCTACACCCCTCGCTTCCAGGCTGCTCTGTAAGCACTTTTCTGCTTTCACCATTTCTCCTATGCTTTGTTCAGTGGCAGCATTTTTATCCTTTTTTGCTCATTTATGTGACTCCTTGGAGTGTTTTCTCCAGCAAAGCTCAGCACTGCGTCCCCAGAGCTGTTGCCTGTAAGGCTGACAGCCCAATGCAACGGACTGTGTGTCAGTTTTCAGCGTTTTCTCCTGCGACTTTTGTTTTTCTGGACTGCTCTTTCAGCCTTTCTGCTCCTCCTTTGAGTGCTGCCCTTTAGATCCCCAGCCCCATCATCTTCTGTGAGGCTGTGGGTGTGGAGGTCCTGTCCAAGGTCTCTCTTTGCCTTACCTGTTTGATAGTTCTGCTTCATCCTTTTGGCACAACTGGCAAATGCTCTTCCTTTTGTCCTCCTTTACTGTCTGTGTTACTTGTAGGACATGAGTCCAGCTTTCTTCTTGAATGAGGACTTTGTGATCGCCACATAAGTCAGTCCTCAGTGGAGAACTGGTCTTCCATGGGAAAAATCTAGAGTTGTAGTCTGTGTTTTTTAAGGAAAGATCTAGCTCAAGGTGGTGAACTGAACAGGAGGTTTTTTTCCTTCTTGGAGCCAAGTGTGTTGGCAGAACAAAAGGCTAAGACAGGCTGCTGCCCTGCTTTTTTTCCCCCCAGAAGTTGTACTTGCAGCCACGGGCTTTTCTGTGCACAGTCCCTGTACTTTGTTGCTGACTGTATGCTGACTGTTCTGATGGTCAGCCTAACAGTGGTCGTCTATTTAACTCCAAATATGCCAGCTCAGTTCCCTTTCTGCAGCTCCCAGTGACAAGCCCCGTAGGAAATTGTGTGCCCGTCCCTGCACCTCTGCTGTGCTGCAGCCAAGCAAAAGCTGAGCCAGCTGCTTGCTGTCCTCTGCTCCAAGCAGTGGGCAGGGAGGGCAGCACCGTGCGGCCCCTTAGCCAGGGCACTGGGAGGCGAGGGAGAGGAGGAGGGAGGGCTGTCTCTAGCTGGCACACTAAGATTGTGATCCTCTTCTATAGAATTTTGCTTTCGAAGATGGAAATCTGAATTTTGAGATCATAATTGCTCAGTTGCTTCTGTTCTTCTGGTTTTGGGGTTGCTTGGAATTTTTACAACTCTTAATATTGTATTTCTGGTTTTTTTTCTTTGTTGCTGACGGGAGCATCCAAAAAGCAATTTTTAAGCTGTAGCACTGCACTGAATTACTCTGATAAGCATTTTTTTGTTCATTTTACCCTGAAAGAAAATCATGTGGGCATTTCAAAACAGGGAGGAGAGGAAAAGGAGGGGAGTAAAAGATCTTTATAAAAGAAAAATCAGTTTGAAATAGTCTTTGTTACCCTCCTCGACTCCCTACCTGTGCTGAGAAATGCATCAGTGGGGCTAAATCTCTGATGCTCAGATGCTAAACAGACTGTTGTACTGCAGAAAAAGTGGCCCAGCTCTTTCTTTCTCTGCCTCTGAGCTGATGGGCTTTGGCTGGTGTGTGTGTGCTGTAATACCAGACCTGTTTTTTAGACTAGCACTTTGTAAGTGGCTGGCTCTATTGTACAAAGAGGAAAATTAAAGAGTGGTTTGCACTGAAACTGGTTGTTGTTGTATTTCCAGCTTTTGTTGTGTGACCTGAGGATGCTGGTTGTGGGGATGCTTGGTGCTCCAGCAGCCCTTTTGGCTGGGGGAGGGCGAGTCCTGCAGAGCCAACCCCTCCCTGCTCTGCCAGTGGGGATCTGGGAGAAGAGCAGCCGCTGCCTGCACTGCTCTGTACCTCTGAGAGTTTGTGCTCTTTTCTCTCCTGTGGTGTTGGGTTGCTGGTGCCTGGTGCTGTAGCAAAGCCCATCCTCATCTTTCTGTGGCACTGGGCAGCCTCAGCTGTGGCTTCCTCATCGTTCCTCTGCAGATCTTGGGGGAGGGGGTGGGTGGCAGTCCTGGCTTTCCTGTCCATTTTCTCTGGGGGTATCAGGGCTGCCTGTGGCAGTGCCACTGACATAGCTGTCCTGTAGTCACTGCAATTTCCTCCTCAAGGCAACATGAACGCATGTATGAGCGGGCTGGAAAAGCCAGAAGTTGAATGTAACAGGCTCGTGTGCATTTAGCACTGGGGTGTGTGCAGGAAATCTGGGGGATTGTCAAAATCTTGCAGGTCAAGGTGGGCTGTGAAGCCCCAGTAAGGTGGTTTGAAGCCTTCATGTCGCAATTACAGTGTAATAGCGGAGGAGCTTGATCTTAGCTGGAGCCTCAGAGAGGGTTAGAAGAGCCTTAATATAGAACAGGTGGTAGAGCAGGTGGTGAGCTTTGCTGTGAAATGCTGACCTCCAAAGCCTGGCCTGAAACCTGTCATGGGAAGAAGGGAAAGTGAAGCGGCAGCTTTTGGATGTGGAGGTGTCTGGGTGTTGTGTATCAGAGTGCAGGCTCGCAGGAATGGCTTATACCAGAATGCTGAGGGCATGAAGTGAACTGAAATGCTCCATTGTGAAAGGGAGGGAGAAATAACCTGAAACACAGGCTGTATTGTCAGTGAAGCACTACCATTAGCATTCAGGAAAGAGGTCTCTCAGGCAGAAAAGAATGTATTTGAGCTACAGCTCCTGTTCAGAGGGAGATGATTTTGGTAAGAGAAGGCTGTGTGTCAGTTCTGGTTCAGCTCCTGCTTTGAAGAGGGTGTGCAATTTCACCCTGAAAAAAAGGGCTTAGAATACAGAGGAAAAAAATAACAGCCAGAGAGTATGGAAGAGATGCTGTTTAAGAAGCATTTTCCCAGGTTAGGATTTTTCTCCCTGGGGAAGAGATCTGAGGAACTCCTGCAGACAAGCCAGGAACGGTTGCTCCCTGTTCTCTAAGGTGCAAGATGGGCAGGCAGGAGGCTTAAAATAAAGTATTTATTTTCCCCATCTGGCACAGTAAATAACTGTAGGGGACTACAGGAGCAGCCAGGCACCCCTGCTGGGTGTTGGTCCTGCTGCCAGCCTGGCAGGTGGGAGGGGTTCTAGCCAGTCTGAGGTGCTTATACACGGACTTGGGAAGGATTAAATTAACAAGCAGAGTCTGTGTGTTTGCTACCTCTGCGTAGAAACGCCAGCTCTAGCTCTCCTCTGCCCAAATACCTCTGAGGAGCTGCTCTGCCCCGGAACAAAAGCAGCAGAGGGGGACAGAAGTTGCCCCCGTGAGCACCGGTGGCTCCACCAGGAGGTTGACAGGGGCCGAAGGAGCCGATTGCAGCACTGGGGAGCCTCGGTGCAGGCTTGGAGATAAGAGGAAGGTGAGCTGTCCCATGCTTTGCCATGGACAAGGGGTGAGTAACTCCCTCTTGCTTTTGCTTCTTTGAAAAAGCTTCAACCCCAATTATTTTAACAGGAGAAACAAGTATAAAAGAAGAAGGGCAACCACCACTTTCAGAAACTGAATCCCACATTGCTTCTGAAGATGCAGAAGATACTTTGTCACTAAGTCAGTTTTGAATTGTTAATCAGATGAGGATGACTTAATTGTTCATAAGCAAAGGATAACTAGCTGTGCATTTGTTTACAAGGATAAAACCAGAAACACAGGCACTGCTTGTACTTTTTCGGTCTCATGAAGTTTTAAGTTCCTTAATTCAAGCAAGGTTGCTCTTTGTGTACAGAAGTTTTATGTCTCTTCCTGGGAGATGTATGCTGGAGAAGTGAAACAAAACTCCAGCTAGAAACACCCACCAAGAGCCTTTGGCTCAAATACAATGTACTCAGTCCTGGGGCTCAAATCAGTTAGGTAAATGCAGTTCTGAACATGGTGTGTTTTATTCTCAGCCTTGCTAAAATACATTATACAGTTTTAAGTAACAGATTTCTCTTCAAATCGCTTTTACAAGAAGAGACAAAAGCAAATTCTCAATGTCAGAAGATGGAGGTCTGAAGTTCTTCCTTAAACATGCCTTCAAAATGGAGGTCTTTTGCCATGAGCTCTTCTTCTACATCCTCTAAGGCCCACTGATGATCAGTCAATTCTAAAGCTTCCCATTCTGTCTGCATTGATAATAAACAGGTAGAGAAAGGAAAGCAACACAGTATTAAAGTAGACAAGAACTATGCAAAGCAGTGCTTACCTTAAAAACTGCAAAAAAACCATAAGTTCTATTAAGAACCTGGCAATCCTCTCAACTCTGAAAGCTGTGTTTTGCACTTAACTGTGTATTAGATAGTTGGCCAATATAAGTACCTCAGAAAATTAGAAAAAATACATTATCTACTTTTTGAAACCCTCTAACCTTCTGGAATAGTCCATTTCTTCTAAAATAGCTGTCTCTAGAAAGCGCCAGTTCTGTTCTGAGGGGTCAAGTGCTTTGTGGTTAGTTAATTCCTTAGTTCAGAGGCATTTGATAGAACAGTTATGGGTCAAAAATTCTGCAACAGACTTGATGTGCCTCACTACACTGTTCTCCAACCAAAAAGCTCCCTGGGGCTGCAGAGGTTATTAATTCATTAAGCTGGGTGTTCACAGCAGCCCAAGACCTAAGAACAGAATTTCATCCTAAATATAAAAATTATCTCCCCCACTATTTATTTTCCACCAGCTATGAACACAAATCTCTCCTCCTCTTAGTCCATGAAGTGTTGGTCCAGTATTGTGGAATAAGCTGTATACAGCCTGCAAAATCATGTCATGTGATGCCCAGCAGCAGAGTTGTATTTCTTGGCCAGAACACTTCTGCGGTACAGGCTTGCTTGCTTTGTTCCTGCTGGGGATGGTGCAGCAGGTTTAGGTCCCTACAGGGCTGAAGGCTCTGAATAGCCAGTACCAGCAAGGAAGCAGAGGAACGTGAGCCAGAAGAGCACAAGGTACTGGTTGGAATTGCATCTCAGTGCTGCAGTTTGTGACAGAACAGCTACTGCTCCAGCAGAGCTGCAGACTGCAGCCCCCCTCGTCCCTTGCTGAGCCCCTGCCTGGGTGATGTAGGGTTTTTTTAACCAAGAATGTTACTGAATACAAGCAACTGCAGGAGCAGGCGATCCTGACTTCCCAGGTAACAGGTTGTCTATGGGTAAATCTGTATTATAGTACATAAAACCAGAGACCAGGACCTTCCCTTTATGCATAAACTAGTGTTGTGAAAGGTGGAGGCAGTCTAATAAGCAAGTGTCTACAGAGGCTGCTTAGGAGAACTTCAAGACACTGTCAAATCCTCAGATATTTTCAGTTGAGCTGACTTGCTTGATTTTCTTACCCAAGTTCCATCACATGCCTGCTGGACTTGTGTTCAGCTGCAGTATCATCACAACTTTTTGTGAGCCAGTTCTGCTTTGGAAGTAATCTCAAGCAAAAGAAAAAAATCTTCTGCAAAAGCAGAAGATGGCACATGAATTCAGCTTTTGTATCAGGAATGATCCAGGTTTGCTTCAGGGTATTGGAGCTCTACCAGACCCAGGGCAACTTCCATACCCTTCATCAGCTGTCAGCTCTAATTTTAGGAACAGGAATCCAGAGCGATTCCCTTGCTCAGCACAGGGAGAGGATGGGTTACATACAGCCTACAATCCTGTAAGCTCACAGCAAAGTGGGAGTACTGTACCTTAAATGCTTTGTTAGTGTCTGCTGGCATGGCCATTGCTGCCCCTGTCATTTGTTCTTGCATCACCCTAGACTGATCTGCAGCTACAAAAGAAAAATGAGAGGTTCATTTTTATTTGTGTCATTTAAACAGCATTTCTCAGAGCACAGTGCCACCAGGCTCTTTTTTGGCTATAAACCAGAAAGTTGCAGAAACACCCAGAATGCAATACTAATGTGCCATAAAGCGTTCTCACAAGGTTATCTTGTTCTCACCTGCTACATCTTAGTTAAGTTTACATAAGATACACTGACAAATGGAGGAAAAGGGAGTCTTCTACATTTGCAGCAACCTCAGAAACAGTATCTGTCCTGCCCTGCATATAGCCTTAAGAAATCTTTGCAGCTTTCCTTAAAACTGACCCTTGCTAGAAGTAAAAGTGAGCTGGAGAGCAATATTTCTGCACACCAATTTGATGAGAAAGAAAGCATGGGTTAATTACCATGGAAGTTTATGAGCACTTAGCTAATGCCTGATGAAGAAGATCTGGGTACTTGCTGCAGGCAATGTCAAACCTGGCCAGGGCAGAGTAACCTCACAGAAGTGGGTAAGGCTTTCAAGAGCTTTTTGGCTGGAAATTTAGAAATCCTTCCCCAGCCTCCCTCAGAAGTTATCCCATGGAAGGAGAAGCCAGCTCTTTCAGAGAAATGACAGTATCTTACCATTATCTTGGCCCAGGATGAGAGTATAAATGCTTCTGAGTCCAAACACATTCAAGAAGTACCAGGAAGCAGAGCTCACCCTGATAAATCAGAACAAGCATGGTTGATTTTGGTTTAAAGCTGGCTTGTGATCTCATTTCAGAAGCACACACAGACCACTCAAGGGTTATTGGCACATTCAAAAATTTTCCAAGTGAATATTCAACCTTGCTTGCTGAGAACACAGGCTTACCAGGATGCATCTAAAGTGAGCAGTTCAATTCCCTGCTGCAACATTGGTTTAAAACGCAGCGTCAGAGGAAATGGGACCTTTGCTGCAGGATAGAAAAAAAGTTCAGTTTCA